CCTGTAATGGAAACCTATAAAAGGTCTTCTTTTCTTTCGAAATCCCTAAGTTCTCTAGAAAAAAATTACTTCTGCAAAAAAAGGAAAACATTATGATGAAAGGAAGTAAAGAAGGAAGGATGGAGGGAAGGAGGGTTAATCAATTTCATGATAGACAATCAACCATATTATAACCACAAATATATATATATATTTTGAGTTGGAGTCTCACTCTGTCACCCAGACTGGAGTGCAGTGGCCGCTCCCGGCCACCGCAGTCTCAACCTGCTGGGCTCCGGCGATCATTCCGTTTAGCCTTCCAAGGAGCTGGAACTACAGGCGTGCGCTACCATGCCCGGCTAATTTTTTTTTTTTTTTGAATTGGAGTATCACTCTGTCGCTCAGGGAGTGCAGTGGCCGCTCCTGGCCACCACAGCCTCGCCTGCTGGGCTCGGGCGACTCTTCCGCCTCAGCCTTCCAAGTAGCTGGAACTACAGGCGCGCGCTACCACGCCCGGCTAATTTTTTGATTTATTGTAGAGATGAGGTCTCGCCAAGTTGCCCAGGCGGGGCTTGAACCCGCAGGCCCAGGCAGTCCACTCACCTTGGCCTCCCAAAACGTGGGATTACGGGCTGAGCCACCGAGCCCGGCTCACAAATATATTTTTAAGGTTGTTAGATAAAATGGAGGCGGCATGACTTGCTACCCATGGTGAATGCCATGCTATAGCATTAGGGCCCCTCCACCAGGCCAGGCACCTATCTGCCCTCCACCTGAAAGTTGCCCTCAGCTGACTAGAACCACTTCCCGGGGAAGTTGCTCATGCCTCCCCCACAACTTCCCTGCTCCTCTGCATCTGGAGTCCATAACTGACAACTGAATGACTCAGGGCTGTTAAAGACTGATGCCTTTGTCCCTAGCTCTGCATCCCTTGAGGAACAGGCCAAGGCTAGCATTTTCTTGGCTGCTTCATTCAAAATAAAATAAGCTCCACAAATGAAACATATGCCCATCTTATATGACAGAGTCACTCCCTACTCTCTAAGCTTTCATCACATAACAGCTGCAGCAATTTCGAGAGGGTGGCTTGCTAATCTGTTTGAGAATTCTCTGGACTGGACTGAGCATGGCGCACCAGCACAAAGAAACAAGAGGTCTGAAGACTGTCTGTAGCCCCAGCTCTTCTTATTTTTATTGGCCAAGTGATGTGGAATGGTCACATAATCACTTTGAACCTTCCTTTCCTTCTCTGTGGAAGATGGATAATAATTGTTCCTTCTAATTCAACATGCAGGTGTGAAGGCAACTAATAAACAAAAAAAGTTAGACCTGAATTTTCTTCTAATTGAAGAAACTGAGATGTAAAGATAGTAATGAAGTCAGAAGCCTCTAATATCAAGCACTATTCCATATGTGTCTATGGAGGCACCATTTTCAGAAGACAAGGAATGTTGGCAATATCTAACAGTTCTTGCTGACACAAATTCATGTTTGTTTTGTGAGCGATAAGCCAACTTTGAATCAGATGTTTATTTCTGAAAAGAAACATAGCAATATTTTCTTCAAACAATCTTCATTTCCTAGCCCAAAAGCAATTTCATTTTTTATTGCACTTAGTTTTTTTTGGTTAGAATTGGAGTCTTACTCCGTCGCCCAGACTGGGGTGCTGGCCACCGCAGCCTCGACCTGCTGGGCTCCAGCGATCCTTCCACCTCAGCTTTCCAAGTGACTGGAACTACATGCGCGTGCTACCACGCCGGGCTAATTTTTGATATTTTGTAGAGACGAGGTCTCGCCAAGTTGTCCAGGCGGGTCTCAAACCTGTGGGCTCAGGCAATCCACTTGCCTTGGCCTCCCAAAGTGCTGGGGTTACTGGCTGGGCCACCAAGCCCCGCCTGCACGTAGTTTTTAATGTAAGTTTGTATCATATTGTGAAGTAAATGAGATCAAAGTTTCTTTTGTTATGGAAATAGACATTCTTTTTTTTTTATTACTTGCCTTTGGATAATTTCTAAGAGACGTTTCCTTGTTTTGAGTAACACTTTCATTACTACTTGGTGACCTTGGTTCAATCATGTTTACTACCGTTTGTGTTCCCTTTCGTGCTTTTCTAAAGTGCATTACAAGCTTTATTTTTTTCTCTGAAATTTTCTTCAGGTCCATCTGAGTAATGAAGTGATCATAGTATTTTCACTTTACAAAAATACTGTTAAGCCGGGCTCGGTGGCTCAGCCTGTAATCCCGCGCCTTTGGGAGGCTGAGGTGAGTGGATTGCCTGAGCCCGTGGGTTCGAGACCCGCCTGGGCAGCGAGACCTCATCTCTACAATAAATCAAAAAAATCAGCCGGGCGTGGTAGCGCATGCCTGTAATTCCAGCTACTTGGAAGGCTGAGGAGGAAGGATCGCCGGACCCCAGCAGGTCGAGGCTGCGGTGGCCGGGAGCAGCCACTGCACTCCAGTCTGGGCGACAGAGTGAGACTCCAACTCAAAAAAAAAAAAAAAAAATTACTGTTAAGATTCCATCTTAATACTAAGATTTCCTTCTCTGTAAAAGATAAATGTGGTTCTAGCCATTTCCTGGCTCCTCTGTGGCTGCTTAATTCTGAAAAGATATTCCAGATTTCATTGTTACTTTTTACCCATCACATCTCAGCACTGGCACAAAATTCCAAAGTAATGAACCATCTCATTCATCTTGCCTACAGTATAATTTAATGAAAAACTAAAAGAAAATGTACTACAAGGACACCAGAGGAGTACAGGCCATTTCTTTTATCATGTAAATTGAAAGCAGCTGGAAGTCAGCTATGAATGAGCTCTCAGGTACAAATACATGGTGAGCAGATAGTGACACAAGCAAATATTACACTTCAGTCTCCATAATGTTTTCTCTTAGATGTCACCTAGCTGGATAAAGTATGAATGCGATACTGTGTGCTTGGCATGAGATAATAATCTCACTCTTAGAATTTCAACATTGAATGTAGTGTACACAAGGATACACTTTAATTTTGTATACTGTGTATAAAGGAACCCAGTGAAAACAGTCCTGCAAGCCCGACTTCATCTAACCTGACCAGTGTGACTATGAAGGGAAGGGAGAACTAGGCAAAGTGTTTAAACACAGAATTATCATCTCAGTGTGAACTATGTTAATAGAGGGAGACATGGTTACGGATAATCAGAGCCACAGATAAGCCTCAAAACCCCTAAAAAAAGCATAATGATGTCTTCTCAGGCAGTGAGGAACAATGTCTAGAACATGGCTGTGATGGTTAATTTTATGCGTCAACTGCGGTGTTGTTATTCGGTCAAACACCAGTGTAGATGTTGCCGTAAAGGTGTATTTTAGGTGTGACTTTTATTTAAATAAGCAGACATTGAGCAAAGGAGATCAACCTCTATAATGTGGGTAGGCTTCTTCTAATCGTTGAAGACCTTAAGAGCAAAGACTGAGGTTTCCCTAAGGAAAAGCAATACTGTCTCAAAACTGCAACGTAGAAAATCTACTTGTATTTTCAGTTTGCTGTTCTGCCCTGCTGACTTCAGACTCAAGACTACAACTCTCAGGTGAATCTCTGGTTTACTGGCTTGCCCCTTAGATTTTAGAATTGCCAGCCCTCACAATCACATGAGCCATTACTTAAAACAAATCTCTCTCGTCTCTCTCTACCTACACCTACACACACACACACACACACACACACACACACACACACACACACACACACCCTATTGGTTCTGTTAGTCTGGAGAACCCTTGACTAACACAATGGTGGCTATTACTGCTTACCGGAAGTCGTAAGAGACTGAATATAAAATGAACAATGGCCAGACCATATGTAAAAAATAGAACTTTGGGCCATTACCTGCTCTGGAAGTCAACCCTCTTATCAACAATCAACAACCCAAGAGGTCAGCCTGCTATAAGTCTATCAATTCAGAGTTGCAAGAAGCCAGATTGCTATCTCAAGTGACAATCCAAGAAGCTAAGCAATAACTTGGGTAACAATTGGCCCAAATGGCCAGGGAATGATTAATGACTGACAGCTCCCCTAAGTTTGCTCCTGCCTCAACTTAGGACCAATCGGAGAAAGTCAAACATGCAACCCTAGTTCATCACACAGGGTGCCCCGCTTCTAGTCAGTCTGCCTCCAATTATTTCACGCTCAAGGCTTCCAGTCAGGGCTCACCTGAAGCCTTCCCTTTTTCCCAATATGAAGCTTTTCCCTCTGCCTGCCTTTGAGTCTCTGCCAAAACACAAATGATGGTGGCTGACTCTCTTGCTGTCATAAGCTCAGAAAAAAAATAGCCTTTGCTTTTCTTATTTGGTTGGTCTTCATTTATTTCCACTGCCCTAAGGTCCTGAGAGGGTAAGAAATCAGGTCTGCCAGAAACTGGAGTGGGATAGGACCTGTCTCAAAATGTTGCTGCCTCTAAGAGACAGAATTTTCAGACTCCGTAAGTATAATGCAGAATGTGGACAACAAAGAATATGGACAATATGTATTCTTATGAATTCTCCTCTTAACCAGCACTATTATTCATCAGGTTTTATAATATTCTTTTAACTGAAACATATGGTGATATCCAAATGTAAGATGCAAAATATTTTGTGCAAAACAATTTAAAAAGTCTCATTATTAGACCTATGATAACTTGGTGACTATACACTCAGCTATGGCCTTGAATTCCTGTGCTCAAGGAGATGCTGTCGCCTCAGCCTTACAAACAGCTGGGATACAGGCATGTGGCACCAAGCCCAAAAGACTCTAGATTAAACATACCTTCTTTTAGCCTCAACACATTTACTAAGTCATATTTATCTGCTAAGAAATGGCCTTGGTCTGCCATATATAAGACTTACAACTAATCTGCAAACACCAAGATTTGGGAATGATAGTTATTTAATTGAACTTATAAAAATTAATGTGAGACTGAGACCTCTAAGAACAGTAATTGGAAATTAAAGACCCAGGAATACAGGTTAATGTCACATAATAGAGGAATATCACAAGGGATGCATTTGATAATTAGATTTATTTTTTTAAAAAATCTTAAGCACAACTTTAACTCAGTAGAATCTCACAGTAGAATTTTCAAGTATTTGATTTTTGGCTTACAATAATTAAATGTAAACTACTGCTTTCAATGCTCTTTTCAACATCATGCAACGATCACACTTGATTTAAGAACATTCATTTAATAATTTAAATTCTTCACAAGACATCGAAAACAACTTACTATTATATTGCAAACATGATCAAAATAAATCTTAGATTATGAAAAAAAGAACATGATCTCACCTCCTTCAGAGCCAAATATAGAGCAAAGTTATCAAAAAGATATTAACAGAATTGACCTATCAACTATAATAAGATACACAGAAAACTGTTTTTAACAGGGAAGATCCCTGAAAGGTTACAGTGTGAAAGGCACCTTAAAATTCTCACTTGAAAATTTTACAAAGGCTCATTAATGGTCCATTCAATTATTCAGAAGATTTGATTTTCTCAGAAAGCAGCTTCTAATAGCAGTTCTGGAATACTAGTTGTGACTTCCACTTGGAGAATGCTGTAACAACAACATAAAAGGAAAATATGTTATTAAACCTGAAGGCAAAACTCTGAATACTCCCACCTTTTAAATCTGCACTTCGACTATGTTCCCAGAATATTTATACATCCTGTCTACTGTAGAAAGATAAAACCTTCAGAACGCAGTGAGACTACTCTTTTTCGATATAGTGACCCCCACCCTCAAGATCAAACACACACACACAAGACTTACCGCTGCCTTCAAAGCTTGATCTAGATCCTCCAGTAAGTCTTTTTCATCCTCTAAGCCCACAGAGAGTCGAATCAGTGTGTCACTAATTCCAAGGATGTCTCTTTCATTCTTAGGCACCGATGCATGTGTCATGATTGCCCTGGAAGAAGAAGTGAACAAATGTTTGGTCACTGTGTGGTGCCAGCAATTTCTATCCTATAAATTGCAGCTGCTGTTACATTTTGTTTTGTTCCAAATATCAAATTTTTCATACCCCAATAATTTTTCACCAGCAGAAAAAATGAGAAATGTTGAAACTTATCTCTTCATGATTCTAAGTGAAAACCAATATGATTTTTATCCCGTTTATACCACTGGTAAGGTATACTCAATCCAGACACTGACAGTGCCTGTTAAACACACCCATGCAGGAGGGAGAGGCATATAGGCTCCAGCATGTAGATTTCAACCCTGCATGCATAAGGCTTTGGCCAGAAGTCACACAGCCCATGACCAACCTGTTATTTATAAAAGGCCTCTAGGACCAAGAGCCTGCCAGAATTAATTTCCTCTGGCTCACTGAATCAATCCAGGACTGGACCTTCTGAGACATATCAGGGAAAGACAGCCCAGGACCACTAGGAATAACCACTGAGCATTAGTAATTCAAGTATGTAACTCATGACATAGAGGCCTTGGAGGATATTCCAAATTATCTAGCAACTCATCACCATCATTAACGTGTATAAAGGTAAAGCACTGATTATGTGTCAAGCACTATAGTAAGAATTGGGAAACCAAGAAGATGAGATATAGTCTTTATCCTGATAACAAAGCAAAAGGTAAAGACTGTGCAAATTCAGAAAACCAAATAGTCTACTGAGAATGCCAAACAAGTAAAAGATTGTCAGAGTTTAGGGGAGGGAGAAATCTCCCTGGGCTGAGGCAAAACAGAGGAGAGGCTTATAGTATTACTTAGCACCAAGAGGTATATTGTAACCAACACTCCTTTCCCTGCTCATTTGTGCTCTGAGTAAATGGGTATCTTCTTTTATCACTCTAAAGAAATTTTTACACACAAACATTCTGCTTAATATGTTCTGTCCTGGCAGGCTCTTAATTCCTTAAGAGAGAGTGTACATATGGAAATAAAAACTTGGGTCTCAGAGACCAATAGGCTTGGGTATGAATCCTAGCCCCTCCACATACTGGCTATATGGCCGTGTTTGAGTTATCTGCCCTAAGTGCCTACTTCCTTATCTGAAGTAATAATAGGCAGCACCAATTGTGTGCTTACCACAAGGCACATACTCTTCCTGGGTGATGTGAGTACATTAATTCATTTTTTAACGGATAAGAATTGGATCTAACACCTCTCTTAAAGGTCTGTCATATGCATCAACTGAAGGAACAGACATAAAGATCCTACAAGCACCTGGAATGTAGTAGAAGCCTAATAAAAATAATTCACAGTAGTAGTTAACATTCTAGTTAACATTTTTGGAGTACTCAGTACGAACCAAGGTATTAACTCGGGGATTTTCCTCCATGTTCTTACGACAACTCTCACAGCTAGGTAAAGTGTTGTCCACATTTTACAACTGAGGAACTTGAGTTTAGAGAGGCTAAGTGACTGTTCCAAGGTCACAGAGATAATATGAGTTGTCGGGCTGAGAGCCTAAGCCAATACACACTGACTCCACTTCTTCTCTTTCTTACTACAAGGCTGCACGAGTCACAGCAGAGTTGGGAGACACAGGATGAAAGGTGACAGAACAGACAAGCCCTGACCTAACTCCACTCACCCACTAGCATCAGAATGACAGCCCACGCTGGAGTGTCTGAGGGTTGAGCAACTTTAAACAAAATCACTAAATAAATCAGGAGAGGTCTCTTTTCAAGAAGAGAGTCTTAAAGTAACATAAACTTCATTACTTGAAAGATAAGCCCCTTTCATGTGCTGAGTGTGCCCTCTTGTGCATCCAAACTTACTAGCAGGCATCTTCTGGCAAGACAAATGAGATACGAATTATTTCAAGTCATTATTGGGCATCAGCTACAAATATATGAACTTTGTGAGATTGCCTGACATGCATCCTACCCGTAAACTACTGTAAGAAGACAGAGATATGCCTGCATATAGAAATATGACGTTTCTCAACACAATGCTTCCTGGACAAGTTACTCCACAGATGTTTATGAAAATAAAAGCACATAAACTACCATGTGCACTTGGTAAACTGAAAGTTACTAGGTAATAATGTTGACTTACTCCGGTAATAATTATATGTTCCTCATGGCAGTATACAATAAAGGCACGACATAGCTCAGAAATGCATGGTGGGTAATCAATAAATGATAGTCATTAATTATTAATTTCATTTCATGGATAAACAATGAAGGCTTCTTGGTTAACTGGTAGAGCAGGTCTCAAATTCAGTCCCAGGCTCTTTTTACTCCCCCTCCCCGTTTCTGATGCAAAGTCAAGGGCGAAGTTGCTGACACATTCCTGTGTGGCATGCAAGTCAATTGACTAAACTTTTCCTTGTCTGTAAAATAAGCTATTGGCTTAAAATAAGCTATGATCTTAGGCTGCCTCCTCTTCCAATATCCACTGGTGCTTTGATAAAATCAGATGAATTGATTGAGTCAGAGAGTGAAGGGCTTGGAATACCAAGTCAGAGTTTGTATTTATATTGTAGACAATATGGAGCCATTAAAGATTTATCTCCTAGCCGGGCTCGGTGGCTCAGCCTGTAATCCTGCGCCTTTGGGAGGCTGAGGTGAGTGGATTGCCTGAGCCTGCGGGTTCGAGACCCGCCTGGGCAGCGAGATCTCATCTCTACAATAAATCAAAAATCAGCTGGGCGTAGTAGCGCATGCCTGTAATTCTGTCTACTCAGAAGGCTGAGGCGGAAGGATCGCTGGAGCCCAGCAGGTCGAGGCTGCGGTGGCAGGGAGCGGCCACTGCACTCCAGTCTGGGCGACAGAGTGAGACTCCAACTCAAAATAAAATAAAATAAAATAAAATAAAATAAAATAAAGGTTTATCTACAGATAACAGAAGACAAATGGATTTGACAATAGCTAGTAGGGCTCATCTCTGACAATCAAGGGTGTGGAAGAGTTTCATCAGAGCCATATTCTCTGCTTCCCAAGAAAAACAGTTTTTCCAGTCTCCAGTCTCCTCTCCAATGCCAAGTGGGATAGAACATGTGGCCTGGGGTCAGAGGTCAGAGGTCATAGAACACAATTTCTGTTGGAATCTCTTTCAGGCAGAACAGAGGAGGAAGCAACATTTGGAAGGACACAGCTCACTGATAAGGAGTTCACCATTCCATCCTATCAGGGTCTCCATCCTGACTGGGCTAGAGTCCATTCTGATTAGTTAGTGCCATGCTATTGTATGGCTTAAGTATCTTGAATTACCCCTGATTTTATTATGCTCCTTTTCCAAGCAATCATTAAAGTTGACATCACTTTAAAATACTGAAAAAAACAGGATTATACTTACGGAAGCTCAGCAAGACTTTCGAATCCTCCCAAGCTCTCAGCCAGAGTAAATAACTACAGCAAAAAAAACAACAACATGAATTTAGACTTCCTAGTAAAATAAAAATACTAAGATCTAAAGAAAAAATGATTTTAATAAAGCGGCCCTGGTATGGGATGTGGGGAAGATGGCGATTATGAATAAATTAAATATTAGGCAAGAAGGTCAATGGAAAAATGGGAATCAAGTCTATCACAATGATTTCAGCAACTAAACACATTATACTTAAACTTTTAAAACATAAAAGCTAATCAAAGTGAATCCCCGACATCTTCCTAATTTGGCCCCATACTTAAGGAATACTTTTTTTTTTTTTTTTTGAGTTGGAGTCTCACTCTGTTGCCCAGACTGGAGTGCAGTGGCCGCTCCCGGCCACCGCAGCCTCGACCTGCTGGGCTCCGGCGATCCTTCCACCTCAGCCTTCCCAGTAGCCGGAATTACAGGCGTGCGCTAACACGCCCGGCTGATTTTTTGATTTACTGTAGAGATGAGGTCTTGCTGCCCAGGCGGGTCTCGAATCTACGGGCTCGGGCAATCCACTCACCTCAGCCTCCCAAAGGCGCGGGATGACAGGCTGAGCCACCGAGCCCGGCGTTAAGGAATACTTAACATGGAGCTCAAAAATCTAGCTCTGTGGTTCCCATTTAAATAAAAAAATCTCTAAATGCCTACCAAGTTATATGCATTTACTTGTTAATATGTATCATTTATTAAGTACATCCATTTAACTCCCTACTGAAGTAGAAAAAAATAACCACTCACTTTTTGTATTTAGTGTTACAGTGTCATAGCATTTTACTATACAAATGTTCTAAACATTACTTTGACTAATGGGGCAGGTGTCTATTCGCTAGACCTGTAGTATTTAAGCTACTTGAGCTCAAGGTAAACCTGGCATATAGAGCTACACAGGCCTCTCGCTCAGGGCTCCCAAGAGCCTCCTGCCTTAGTGAAAATTAGACAAAGCCTCCCCCTCCCTCACCCCATGCAAATGCAGCCTGGAAAGCACAGAGTTTGGAAGGTCATTCATAGGACAGACTGCTGAACAGCCTTTGTGCAGCACACTAACTGCACACCACTTTGAAGCTGCACCTATCTTATCTGAAAAGGGTTCACTTTTAAATAAATTTGAAAAACAATACATTATATTATTCTGTACAATGCCAGGTGTGGTGGCTCACGCCTGTAATCCCAGCACTTTGGGAGGCTGAGGCAGAAGGATCAATTGAGGCCAGGAACTCAAGATCAACCTGGGCAACGTAGTGAGACCCTGCCTTCACAAAAAAAAATAAAAATTAGCCAGCCATAGTAGTATGTGCTTGCAGTACCAGCTACCCAGAGGCTGAGGCCAAAGGTGTGCTTGAGTTCAGGAGTTCGAAGTTATAGTGAGCTGTGACTGTACCACTGCACTTTAGTCTGGACAACTGAGTGAGACTCTAACTCTAAAAATGAAAAAAAAAAAAAAAAAGGACATTCTGTACCTTCCCAAATTGATTGAAGTATGTGGAGAGTTAAGCAAACGAACCTGCTTAGACGTTGCTACTGTGTCATTATTGTTTAAGTCACTTTCAACTCAGTATATTTTAAGATCAAAAGGTTTGCCAGTGCACTTTACTGGGTGGGGTGGAACTGCTGTAGGGAGGTCTCACATCCACAGTTCAAAACCTACTTGTAAAGTTTACCTTTAGGTTCTTGAGGAAAGTCTCAGCGTGCTGAAGAGTGCCCTTAATGTAAAAGGAGATCATCCCCGTGCAGCCTGTGCACTGACGCTTTGCCAACTCATGCTGCGGATGAGAGGGCAGCCCTGCAATTGCAAGTTTGATGAAAGTCTTATTAAAGAGCCAAGCGTGTAATTTAAGAAGAAAGAAACCTCACCATCCACGTAAGGAAACTGCAAGTAAACCTAATAATGACTCTTATGTCATGCCCACGTCCGACTACTTGCTTGGGCCCTGTCTGGCTCTCCAGCTTCAACCAGCTTTTCTTTTTACCCTCTCTGGCTTTCCCTACATCAGCACCACTGCATTCCCTTTCATCTCAGGACCTTTGCACATTCTGCCCCTTTAACCTGAACTCCCCTGCTAATTCTGTTCTTCTGTAACTTCTTGCTGAATATTTGTCTTATCTGCCAGACTAGCTTCCTGAGGGCAAACCCATTTCTTTTGTTAATAATTGAATCCCAGTTCCTAGGCAAAGCCTGGCCCATAGTTGGCAATTAATGAAGATTTGTTGAATAAATCTGAAATCCTTTGAGCCCTTTTAATGAATGATGCCCATTTTTCAGGGCAATGTTTAAAACTCTCCTCCCTCCCTCCATACACACCAATTAACAGCTCTTACCTAGAGTACATATAAGGACATTTAATCTCATATGTATTTCTGCCTTTGTTTATCTAAACTTCTTGCAGATAGGGGCCAGTCTTAATTCTCCTCTATACCCAAGTCTACATGGCAAGATAGCTCAAAAAGATCTTAAAAAAACACTATTTACTTAAGACCATCAGGGTTTAAAAGGTTGGTAAAAGAAATTCAAAGAGTCACATGTAAATCTGTTCACTCCACAGGAGCATTTCTAGATGCTAGATGCTGGGAGAGGAGAAGGAATTAAAAAAAGGAAGTAAGAGAGTCTCAAGGAGATTTTGGCACAGAAATCTTAAATTCCAACTGGGAGAAACCTCTATCAGATTAAAGTTAGTCTGATAGCAGACTAACAAGATAATAAGCAAATCATCGGAAAGTACAATCTCGCAATCTTTGTTTTTTGTTTTTTTTTTGAGTTGGAGTCTCACTCCGTCGCCTAGACTGGAGTACAGTGGCTGCTCCCGGCCACCGCAGCCTCGACCTGCTGGACTCCAGCAATCCTTCCGCCTCAGCCTTCCAAGCAGCTGGAACTACAGGTGTGCGCTACCACGCCCGGCTAATTTTTTGATTTATTGTAGAGATGAGGTCTCACCAAGTTGCCCAAGCGGGTCTCGAGCCCGCGGGCTCAGGCAATCCACTCACCTCAGCCTCCCAAGGCATGGGATTACAGGCTGAGACACCGAGCCCGACTGATCTTTGAATAAGAATACACAAGCTTTCAAACTAAAGACCATCACAAGAACTTCTAACGTATAAAACTAATTTCCTAATATCTAAGCATCCACTAGACGATAGGCAACACAAGGACAGAGACTACATCTGTATGCTTTCCACCAGATCTATGACAGAGCCTGATACATGGTTGTGTTCAATAATAAATGAACAACATAAGAATATATGAACGCATCTAACTTACAAATAAACGTTACATAAACAAGATGCTCAGGGTCACTATTAAAATAGTAGTATAAGCATATATCTGCTAGAATCAGATTTACATACCAGGATAAATAACCTTTTCTACCCAAGGATTAGATTCTAGGAATTGGGCAACTGCCATTCCATTTTTGAAATGCTTTTCCATTCGGACTTGTAGAGTCTTCAGACCTCGATTGCAGAGGAAGCAGTCAAGAGGAGATGGAACTGCTCCAAGAGCTGCAAAATGAACACATATTAGGTCAGTTTGAAGGCTGGGTGGGAACCCAGAAGATTCTCTGGCCTCTCTTTCTCATTATAGTGACTCTGAGAAGCTAGCTACAAAGTTCAATGTTTGAGTTTTAGGGGAGAAATTAATATATCAAATCAGAAGCATGAGAATGAACCATAAAATATGCTTTAAAAATTTGCTTTAAAATGAAGGGAAATGAGTATTCTGAAAAGCTAAGTAAAAACACAATGAAGTGAACTTTTCAAACATGAAAATAAACTGTCCTCTCTATGACTTTAACAGAAGGACATACTGCCCACAGTCTACCCTTGTATTTCTTTGAAAAATTATTACAACATACATTGGAAAATAGCAGTTCAACTTTTGTTATTACTGAATATTCTATCAACATCCTATTTAGCCTTTGTCTAAAGCAGTCAATGATTCCAAATGCCTCCATGGATACACACCTCGTTCCTACTTTTCATAAATGACAGGATGTCTATCAAGGAATAAGTTTTGATTTCCCACTTCAGTGCCTCCTTTCATTACTTTAATACCTTATTTCCTACAAGGGCATTTTTATTCCTAATTGTGTTTGCATCTTATCTGTCAGACTGCAATGGTTAAATTCTTATCCATACACGAGATAAACTAAACAATATAAACAGGAAATGATGATTGACACCTACTGAAAAATTGAAGTCTATACCTTAAGTGCTATTACAATTAACCATCATTCTGATATAAAGGGTATAATATATGAAAGTTCTCATTTCACATTTTGTTTAAAAAATAAAAAATCCATTATGTTTTAAAACTAAATATCATTTGGCCTTTACCAAATTATGATTAAAATTAACATGCATACAAAAATAACAAGACTCATTTCTTGCATCATATTGTAAAGCCTTGCTTTCTATGACTGTAATATTTTTATAAATCAATTTTTTTCTACTTTTCTCTAAAACTCAGAATTTTCTCTCTATTGCTCATTTCTTCATAAATTATTAGAATGCTATCACTGCGCATCATTTAGTAGAAATATAAATATCAAATGTAGCACTGAGAGCATAAAAGGGAACCTGGACTTTTTTTAATACTTACAATTTTGCAAGAAACGAAGCTTATTATGAAGACTTTCAGAATTAACAGATACTAAACCCATTACAACATCACTGTGGCCTAAGATAAAACAAAAACATTTCAATTAAAAACAATTTATGTTTAATCTCCATTTCATAATTCTCAAAATGTGACTTTCACTTGAAAAAAATTCTCAGAGAAAAAGCTCCATAAAGTAAACTTAAGTAGTTTATTCAATACAATAGCAGCAAAAGCTATACCTAAAACAATAAAATAAAAATAATATGATCCTAACCCTTAACTGTACCCCACAACTTCACAATAAAATAAATAAATAAATAAAATTAAAAAAAATAATAATATGAAAACTAAGTATTTTTAAAGATGTCACCAGGATAATAGCACAAGTTTTTATAGTATATTTTAATCTTCTCCTAAATCACGAGCATAATTTTGTCTACTATAAATGTAATCTTATATTTAATCAAAGTATCATGTTTTTTACTTTCTACATGAGTCACAAAAAAAAAAAAACCTACGAAGTCGTAGAAGGGGATTGTGCTATTTTCACCAATCTTAGGATAAGAACATTCAAAGTGTAGACTGTACACATCTTACCGTTCATGTATTTCGTTGCAGAATGCATACAAATATCAGCTCCCAGAGCTAAAGGTCTCTGAAAGAAACAAAAACTTATTTTGAAGGAGAAATCAGGTGAAAATATGCTTTGTTATCCACCTATTTGCAATTATAAACTTCATTCTCATTCTAATCAATACTAACATTGTTAAGATTACGTACATCTTAAAATTTTTCAGGATCTCTGGTATTATCTTCCCCTTGACACACTTCTACCGAATAAAAATATGAAGCATTGGACCCAGCAATTCAATCCAAAGGCACCAGTTTCATAGAATAGCAGACAGACCCAAGTCAAGAGGTATCCTGGAGCTGTTTCTTTATAGCAGTTGCTAACTGGCCCCTAAATTTATTATCGACAGCAGGGAGACTGGTATTTTACGTCTCATTAAACACATAAAGTAGTTGACATAAACATTCAGCAATTTTTATGTCAAGGATGTATATGTTAATATGCTTAGATTTTTAATCATTAAAACCTCATGATATATTCTGTGATTATTCATAATCTTGACTCTTAGTTACTCTTTATTATACAGTCAGCCCTCCATGTCTATGGGTTCTGCATTTCTGGATTCAACCAACTACAGGTAGAAAATATTTGGGGGTAATAAATGAATGGCTGCATTTGTACTGAATATGTATCATGTGGTATTTGTCTTTCTGTGTCTGGCTTATTTCACTAGATAGAATATCTTCCAGGTTGATTCCTTCATTTTAAAAGGTCTTTGTTTACAGTGAGAATTAAAGTTATAATCGACTTTCCAGTTAACAATACAGTATCAACATCTTTCCATTCACATTTTCTTTCTTTTTTTTCAAATTTTAAGAATCAAAATATATTTTATCTTAATAAAACAACTACAGTCAGCTGAAGATCAGCCTGAGTTAAAATAAAATGAGGAATAGAGAGCAAAAAACATGTGTGAATATTTACTAAAATATCATGACCAGTTACAAAAAACAAGAACTGTTGTAGCAATGTATATTTTTCATATATACTATTAATTTTCTTATTTTTTTTCTTATTATTTTTCATTAAGTGATTTAGGTAGTTAATTTCACTTTTTGTGCTCCAGATTATTTAGAAAGGATTGTAACCTGAACTAAAAGAGAAACTAACACTGAAATATAACAGTATCCAAACTGCTTAAGATATTGTGTTTCTTTTGCGGAAGGAGAACACAAATAACTTTTGTGAAGCATCTTTTTTTTTCTTTTTTTCTTGTAATTCAGTGCATTTTTTAATTTTTAATTTTAAAGATGTGGGTACAATTCAGGATTAGGTATACAAGTGGTCATTGTACAGGTTACAGTTTGGGCCTCCGTATTTTCTTTAACATAGAGGGTGTGTGTGTGTGTGTGTGTGTGTGTGTGTGTGTTTGCTTTGATCTCAGTAGCATTTTGTAGTCTTTGGAAGATATCAGTGTAGGTGGCTATGGACCTTTTCATTTAGGCTCCATATTTTCTTTAACATAGAGGGGTGTGTGTGTGTGTGTGTGTGTGTGTGTGTGTGTGTGTGTGTGTGTTTGCTTTGATCTCAGTAGCATTTTGTAGTCTTTGGAAGATATCAGTGTAGGTGGCTATGGACCTTTTCATTTAGGCTGTTTCAAAAATATGGCATTTTAAAGAAAGGAATTACCCAAAGCACTCTCTGCATCTGTTTGCTCATGTCTAGAGATATGGGGTCAAAGAAGACAAGGTCTAAAGTCTCTTTTAATGCTAACATTCTGTAAACTCTATGGCTAAAAGAGAAGGAAAAATAAAAAACCAATCACTAATATCTGTTGATCTCATTATGTGCCAAGAACCATGCTAAGTACTTTACATAATCCAGGAATGCATTGTACAAAATACTTTGCCTAATTCAATAAAGTCAGTGCCTTTATGGCTCTTATTGTACAGATGAGATAAAGGGACTCAGAAGAATGAAGACGACCCTTCAGATTAAAAACTGGTAGAGTCAAGACTCACACCTAAAATGCCTGACTACTCCAGAGGTACTACTCTGAAACTTTGTGCTGATATGTCCACTTTCCTCTTGTGAGACTTACAGGAACTCCAGAAGACCAACAATGGCAGGGTCTTCTTTGTGAGAGTAAGACAATGAGAGAAATTTTTAAGGAAATTTGCTTTATAAAACCAATACATATAGCTGCCAAGAAGTGATGTGATTCTGATTAATTCAACTGGAATGAATCCAAATTGAAATGAAGCAAAGCACAATACTTGGCATGAGGAATGTGATACAGGCTGCAAAAGGTAGAAAAACTGGACCTGTTTTAATGACAGCAGTAGGAAAAAGAGGGCTAGGCCTGATGAGTAGCCTGGGCAGGGTCAGGCTACAAAATCATGCCACCTTTTTGGGAATATCCAGGACTCACCGTGACTCAGCTAAAGCCATCCTATGCTGTGTTAACTGGCCTAATGAAGTGGCATGTGGGTTTAGGAAATGGGATAAAGAATCCTACACTGAACACACCGGGGACAAATAGATGATGCCAAGGATTTTCACCTGGAAACAGATTGCTTTACCTGATACAAGCAGCAGCCAAAGATATCTCGTGAACCAAAGGTAGACGGCCCAGAAAGCTAACTGAGTACAATATGGCCAGGAGACATATTTCAGGAAAGAAAAATAAACCCTGGTAGCGCCTTCAAATAAAATGGAGGAGTTCAGAAACTGGAGAATAAAGATGAACTACAGGGAAGTGTATTTAAAAGAATGACAAGGTACAACAGAAAGCAAAGAGCAAGGAAACAGTACCTCCTAACAAGGAAAGGAAATGGAGTTAGATCACTCAGAGGAAAGAAAGGCAGAACACGAGGGGAAAAGGCAGACAATACGTCAATTTTAGAGAGCTCCCATGATGTCTCACTAAAAAATGCAAAACAGAAAAGAGGAAGAACCTGGAAAAAAGACTGAGAAAAAAGGAAAGAATGGAGGATGTATAGAAGGGTTGGGCTGGGGAGGAAACAAATATAGACAGGTAGGAAAACAGTTTAAGGGGAGCAACTATGGTCTCAGTGTGTCCCCCAGAATCCATATGTTGAAATCTAATCATCAATGTAATGCTGTTGGGAGGCAAACCTTTGGAAGATGATTAGGGCACACCCCCTCATGAGTGGGATTAGGGTCCTTATAAAAGAGGCTCCCACAGGATTGGCAGTAGTGGGAATCTGCTGGGGGAAGGGAGGGCACACCTCATCAACAAGGGCACCTGCATAATGAAAACTTGTGTACCTAACCCTGAATTGTACCCCACATCTTTAAAATAAAAAATTAAAAAAAAAAGAAAAAGAGGTTCCAGAGAGCTACCTTGCCTCTTCCACCATGTGAGGACACCGCAAGAAGACATGATGGGTAAACCAGAAGCAGGCCCTCACCAGACAACGAATCTGCTGACACCATGCTCTGGGACTTCCCGGCCTCCAAAACTGAGAAATAAATTTCTGTTTTTAAGCCACTCAGTGTATTGTACTTTGTTACAGCAGCCCAAGTAGAGTAAGAGCCCTATAAATACAGCTACAATATAAAACAGATGAAGTAGAAATTCATAATGCAAAAGTTAAAGATACAGATAAGTCTATGAGGTGCCGAGGAAAGAAAAACCAGAAAGAATAGAAATGGAGAAGTAACAATATGTACTGAAATATCATTGAGTATATAGCTTTTTCTTAAAATATATATAAATATATATGGTGTAACTAAATATGCCTAATCTGTAACCAACATATACACATTGAACTCCCTACTATGTATAAGGCATTGGCAGGTACAATCATATAACAAGGCCAGGTCTTCAGAGAGTTTACACATCCTAAAAGAACTGGGAAGCATTAATCAAGACTGCATTTAAAAACCACACCAGATATTAATGTAGGTTTAAGTCATTAACTAATGGTATAAAAGGTCCAAATTTAATTGTTTGCCTAATAAATAAATATGACTAGATTTCATAAGTTTGATCTTGATTTTAGAGTACAGATTTCTAATTACGGACATGTGTGGTGTACTAATCATGACAAAAAAAGCTATTTTCATTTACCTGGAAATATGCTGACATAAAAGTGTTGTCCACGACCAAAATGATGTCTCCATGCTTATGAACAGCCTGTGCACAGGCTTCAATGTCAATTATCTTCAATTTCGGATTTGTGGGGGTTTCAATCCAAACAAGCTAAAATCATTCAGTCAATAGCCATAGTTTGTAAAAATATACTTCACAAACATACATCTCATACATTGTAACAATCTGGAAGACTATATTACATAATGGAAATGCATGGACAATGAAGATGGAAGGTTCATATCTGAATCCTAGCCTTGTCTACAAATTTCTGAGAGGGCAAATAGCTAAGTAACTTATCCTCTTCAGCTGTATAATGGTAATTATTTTTTTTTTTGAGTTGGAGTCTCATTCTGTTGCCCAGGCTAGAATACAGTGGCATGCTTGTGACCACCCCAGTGCCAACCTGCTGGGCTTCGACAATCCTGCCACCTCAATCTTCCAAGAAGCTGGAACTACAGGTGTGTGCTACCACACCTGGCTAATTTTTTTGATTTATCGTAGAGATGAGGTCTCACCATGTTGCCCAGGTTGGTCTCGAACCTGCAGACTCAGGCAATCCTCTCGCCTCAGCCTCCCAAAGTGCTGGGATTAAAGGCTTGAGCAACTGCCTCTGGTCAGTAATATTTATTTTATGGAGCTGTTGTAAGAATCAAATGAGATAATATGCATATAAGCAAAACAAATGCTCATTAATTACTGTTAATTATTTTTCTTAAAAAAGAGAATACATTTCAAAAACAGCTCAGTGTACGGAAATTTTTTTTCTCAAAGATAAATAACATAGATCATATAAGAATGCATCCTAAAATTTTCATTGAAGAGAATTATCCTTATGATGCCAAAAATATCTTTAATGTGACTTTAGATAATACCAGATGCACTCGAAACCATAAAATAAGTACTTAGGGCTTGAAGAAGAACACAGGCTTTTGAATGAAGGAGAAAAGTGACATACACAACAAAAATCCTGGTTACAGCTCACTTTAAAGAGACAGCAGAGTTGTTTTTCTTTTTGAGAAACTTGCCCATGGCAGGTCTTTCTGCCATGAATCTTTCTTTTTCCTTCCTTTCTTCTCACTAATAAACTGTTTTAAAACTTAAAAAAATAAAAATAAAAAAAGACAGCATAATATTTATTTGTATATCTTGAAACCTGCCACAGTTGAGGTACAGGGCAGATGTTTGATAGTTACTGAAAAGACCAAAGAGGAAAATTCTGTGTTGAACAAGATGCCGCTATATTGAATTACATTATCTATAGCTCTCGTTTTCAAAAAACTAATGATTCTCTTTTTACTACCGATTATTTAAATGGGTAAGACTTAATATTTTTCCCACTCTAGAGTTTGCTATGGAAAACTAAAGTGGTTAAAATAATGTATATTCTACAAAAACCTTAAATGATTTAAAGAGTTTATAAAAATTATTCCTTATAAGAATCGATTATTCCCGACAGTCAAAAAAATTTAACATAAAAATAAATAAAAATACACAATGCAAGTTTTACATGGACGTAAAAATTCTACTTCAAGTGACAAGACTTATATTTTAGGGGGGAGAAATGTATTAATTAAAGTTGTAAAGAGCCACTATACAAAGTTCTGTTGACAAGACTTCATATACTCGAAATCTGCTTTCCTCCCTTAGAAAGACTCAGACCAGCTATTTTAATGAGTCTTTTCTTCCAAGTAAAATACAAAAACAAGTCCCTTTGAAAACAAACCTTAATCATCAAAAGCTCGCCCATGTGTTAATCAGCAAAGAAATAATTTGTACATGAAAAGATGTTCACTTTTTAGCATTCACTGCAGCATAATCTTGGATACAATTCTAATCTCTTAATCATCAGCAAAAAGTTGAAAAAGACTGACTTATAAAAGATACTAGTCCTTCTTTACCCATACAGAATTTAAATAAGTTCCCAAGAAAGAATATCACATATGCCATTCACTCAGGCACAAAACACCTTCCGGTGGTATACAAATTTCCCAGGATGGAGGCTAAAGATTGTTTGTGGTCCATTCTCTACTTCCAACTATTATTTATGGCAGTATCCCTTAAACTCTAAGGCTTAGAGCACTGAAAAGGCACCGTGCTTAGAGTTTGGGGTTTTGACAAGCTTTCTTTTCCATAATCCAAACTCTGTGATGATTTCTGTTGCCAATATTAGCTTAGTAGTACAGTTAAGAGTTGTGTGCTCCTGCATAAATTTTTTTTTAACAATTACTATGCATCCAGGTACTATACTAAGCATTTCCTATGTATTATCTCATGTAATTCTCACGGTTGCCTTTCTATTAAACAGGTACAATTATTCCCATTTTACAAATAAAGAAACTGAGACTTTGGCTAAGTAAATGGTCTGAGATGACACACCAAATATGATATAGGATTAGACTCTGAACTCCACTCCAGAGTTCATGTAACCAACCATTACGCTATAATAGCTGGAAGGCGCCAGCACCTATCTTAATCTTGTTGCTGTTTACAATGGCTTCTAATAAAATTTGTTATTTGAATTTAAATTATATCCTCTACTAAACAGAAATGATGAAAACAAAACACCAGAGGGAAAGCAGACAAAACTGAAAACTAGCTGAGTTACCTTGGTTGCTGGTGTAATTGCTGCCTCTAGCAATTTGGATTTGGAACAATCAACAAAAGATATCTTTAATCCAATTTTAGATGCCACCTCTCTGAAGTACCTGTTTGTACCTGAGGGAGAAGAGAATCAGATAAAACGAAAAGAACACTGTATTAAGAAACGTTCATTCCTTATAAACACGTAAAAAATACAAAGAACTCTCAGTCACCAATAAAAATGTAATCAAAAGCAACTCTAGTTTGGTTAAATTGCTTGGCTATCCAATATAGTAAAGAATAATAAGGCTTGGACTTTAGACTAAAGGTTTAAAGGTCAAATAAAAGAAACTTGAAACCCAAAACAAGTGGCATGATGCAGAAAATATTTCTCAAAACACCTAATCTCTACTCTTCAAGCATGAAATGGCAAGCTCCCTGAAACATCAATATCTTTTATTTATTGTTTAATTTTATCAAGTCAGGGTCTCACTCTGTCTCCCAAGCTGGAGTGCAGTGATATAATAATCATGGCTCACTGCAGCCTCAAACTCCTAGGCTCAAGTGTTCCCCTACCTTAGCCCAAGTAGCTGGGGCTACAGGCGTGCACCACCATATCTTGCTATTTTAAAAATGTTTTTGTAGAGAAAAGGTCTGGTTTTGTTGCCCAGGCTGGTCTTGAACTACTGAGCTCAAGTAATCCTCCTATCTCGGCCTCCCAAAGTGCTGAGATTACAAGCACCCTCTCTAAACATTATCTTCTTTAGAGTTGAATATGCCAGAAAGTTGATCAACTCCTGGATCCTCATTCCACAGCTTAAATACAATTATTTACTAACCAATAATACTGGCAACATTGTTAATATGATGCAAGGTTCACTTTATCTTTGAATTACCAGCTGAACAATATAAATGAGAGGAGTCACCTACCTCCATACACATCATCCATACAAATAATTTGGTCTCCTGCTTTTAAAAGATGGCTAATAGTAACAGTGGCTGCTAAACCTGAAGCAAAAGCCATACCTAAAAAAAAACCAAAAAACAAGTTAGAGTAAGCCAACATGTTAGACCTATAGGTTAAAAAATACCTACAGTATTTAGTTGCATTAATTTATGTCTCTTTCTTTGCTGATAGAAGGATAGCCATCACTGCTAAGTCATCAGAGGTCCCTGATTAATAACATTACAAAAATCCCCCCTTTCATTTCAAGAATAAAATATCTTTTTCTTTGAGTCAGAGTCTCACTCTGTCGCCCAGGTTGGAGTGCAGTGGCATGCTCATGGCCATCACAGCCTCGACTTGCTGGACTCAGGCGATCCTTCCGCCTCAGCCTTCCAAGTAGCTGGAACTACAGGCATATGCCACCATGCCCAGCTTTTTTGATTTACTGTAGAGATGAGGGTTCACCAAGTTGCCCAGGCTGGTCTTGAACTCGGGGGCTCAAGCAATCTTCTCACCTCTACCTCCCAAAGTGCTGGGATTATAGACATGAGCCACTATGCCTGGCCCATAAAATACCTTTAAAATAAAAAATATGTAATATGGCAGATATTTTTGTGTTACACCAATTCTGCCTTGGTTATAACATTTCTCTGAAACACTTCAAGGAAATAACTCTTTACAAAAATTTGAGATAAAAGGCCTATTACCAATTAAATTACAATTTAAAAATATCAAACTAAAGAAATGTCAAACATGAAGAACAGAGCAAAGATATGATTCACTAATTATATGGATATGTAATTCTGTAACTATTTTAACAAAACTCACACTCAGACCTGAGATTTGTCTGATAAATTTACCTGATGGATATATAAGACTCCTATTTCCTACTCTTCTGCTCTTATTTAGTAACATTTATATATATTAAAAAAAAAGATGATTTAACATCAATCTACTCCCTTCATGAAAAAAAAGTTCTCTGAGAGTACGTTATCACAGTCACTGACCTTGGTGCTAGTCTCAGGCACAAAGTAACAGTTGAATAAACCAGAGTACAAGAAAGTTTATGTTATCATAGATAGTGTTATTAAACTTAGTTAATTCTTTCCTATTTACACTGAGAGCTTTGGATGAATCATGTATTATTCACATGAATACTAAATTGTAAATGCTAGCATTTTGCTTCTATTCATATTCATTTCTACCTGATAGTTACACATAGGAATATTATACCAACTGAAGGACCTTAGGCAAATAATTCAAAGTCCCAATAAGTTCTGAACTAGTGGATCCTTATTCATTTCCAGTTTTACATTCTGTGCCTTTGTGATTTTCTCTATACACTTAAAAATGGATTCTAGCCTGTGAAATGGAGATTACTTACTGTACTTAGCCCCATCCAGGGCCGCCACTGCTTTTTCCAAGCAATTCCTAGTGGGATTTCCGGAACGGCTATATTCAAAACCCTGAAGAAAAGAAATCAGAGTTTATTCTAAGAGATTTAAGTTTGCTATCAGAGTCCCAACGTAGACATCTCCGCCATTATGAATTCATCTTATAGTCGTGATCTGTCTTGCCATTAGGCAGAAGCATGACAGTGCAGTGGCTATGGTGGAGAGACCCCGAAGTCACAAAATGCAGTCAGAATTTCGTATCTGCCACTTGTCCACTGCATGCCAATGGGCAAATCACTCAACACCTCCAGAGTTGATCTCAATTATCTGTAAAATGGGAATAAAATACAGGTTTCTAGTTCATAAAATTGTGAGGATAAAATGAGATAACGTATAAGTTCACTGCCTGCTTCCTGGCACATGCTAATCACCACTTATTTTTATTAGTAGTATTTAGACTCACCTTTACCCATTAATCTGAAAGCATTAGAAAAAGGGAATTGCATGAACCAAGAGAATAAACCTAATTCTAACTTGTATTTCATTTTCTAAGAAATAAGTGATACAAGTTCTATTTGGCATAAAACAGGAAGCTATGAACAGATTCAACAAATGCTCAGAGTTCAGATCTTGATTTTAAAAGTGACTCAAAAAATAGGGAGTAATTCCTGGCAAAGTAGCCTCACACAATACTTTTAAAACATTTGCATTATGCCCCTTTTACACATATGATACCATACTAGCTATGTTCATTCTGTCATTTTATTTAATCCTCATGTCCTCCTTAGAGGAAAGTGAAGCCATTTGTTATGGTCCCAAAGGAGTGTCCAAGCCAGAAATCAAACCTAGGATTTAAACACTGATGAAAGTTCTTTAATTTTCTCCCCCTGCCTCATATAGCACATAACAAAACACAACCACTCTTTACACCTTTGTTTCTGATTCAGAAGCTTCCGGTATTAATAACAATAATTTTTAAAGTTTTGCTATGTTTCCTGGTTTTTGACAAACTGAGCAACCATGTTTCATAGGGCTCCAGATATCTTTACCACTCCCTACCATCACCTACCATTACCTCCTTACCATGACCTTCAACTGTACCTGCCCAGAAAAGCATGCTTCGATTCATGTGGCTCCTGCTATGAAAAGGTACCCCATGTTTCTATAAATATTCATTGAATATATTTAACTTTGGGGTAGGGGAAAGTATATTTCAGTGACAAGTTGCCTCACCTATTCAGTGGCTTTCCAAATCGAATTGGAGAATCAGATGTTTCTCATACAGCTCTTCAAATTCCCTTTAGGGGTCTTAACTGATTTTTTAAAAAGATGTTAAGCAGACTTGAGGACTTAACCATCTCTGCTGGCTTTCTGAAAACATTTCATTTCACTTGAGCAGCCACACATTCACTCAACCTGACACCAGATCAAACTGCATGCCTGGGAAAGGCTGTGTGTACATTCTGATCCCAAAGTATAGTAGCTAAAAGCATTCTAATTCAGTCATAGAAATGCTCTTAAAACTCTATCTCACAAAACAAAGAGCTAAGTCTATAAGAATGTTCCTCAACTTAGATAAGACATTGAAATTGTTTTCAAAACATAATCAAGGTTTTGGACCTACAAAGCTTATTTAACTAACTCCTTATAACCTTAGCAATTTTTAAATTCTCCAAGATGCATCAAGTATGCCACCAAAAACCTATATGATTAACAAAGAGGGCTTTCTCATAGACTTTATAGGCCATTTATGTATGAGTCTGGGTCAGTTCCTTGTCTATAAAAAGTATAATACCTGTCCTGCCCTCTGACCTGATTGTTGTGAGGACTAAATGGAAATAGTATAAATGTGAGCATCATGAAAAACCACGCTGAGTAATTATTATGTACCATATGGTTTCACAGTCATCTCAACAACTAATGTGGCAGGTACTTTTATTATTCCCATTCATACAGGATTAACTTGAGGCTTGGATGGGTTAACTCACTTGCCCAAAGTCTCCCAGCTCAGAAGAGCTGGTGTCCGAGTCCAAAGTCTAGCCTTTGACTGTGCAGGTTGTGCTTCTAATCACTGAACAACGCTGCCTAAATGATGCAATGAGTTAAGTTATTACTAGCATTGTTGGAGCACAGCACATCGCAGCCTCGTGCCTGAGTGCATGTAGTTCCAGCGCAGGCTGATTAACGAACGTCCTTAAATCCCAGCCCTCTCACCAGAAAATGGGAATTCAGTTCAGACTAGGGTTGTTGCTAGGACTTGATGAAACAGCACAGGTAACGCACCTAACAGGTACTCAGTAACTACTGGGAATGCTTTGATTCCAGACAAGTTGTCAATCAGACCTTTAGCTTTTTTTTTTTTTTTTTTTTTTTTAAGCTGACGCCTTGCTCTCTCAAAATTTTGCGGCTAAAGACAATTCTCACAAGTTAGGACCCTCAGTTTTGAGTCGCAGATCTGCCAAAATTCACACGAACTTCGGCCCCGATCTGTACCGCAAGCTGGGCGAACAGCTCCCGCCGGCCCCGCTTATCAAAAGGAGCGGGACCCCGAACCCCCGGGGCAAAGCTCCCCTCAGGAACCGCGGCGCAGAACTCCCCTCGCGGCCCGCAG